TTATTTTCCCTTGGGGGTTACCACCTGGCCCTGTAGATCTGGCCATAGCTAAGGGTTTTAAGACTTGTTTGCAAGGTCAAGAACTCCTCATGCCTATAAACAGGGCTGACCTTCTGTGCCAAACTGATTTTTGTCACCTGACCTCAAACAGATGAGCCACATGGAAGAGTCTCTGCTCCCCTCAGCTGCATCCTCCTGTACAACATTGACCTTCACTGGCTATGCCAGCCTCACTGAAAACTAAAAAACTGCACTGTTTTGATGCAAATGCAGTCTCTTGCTGGTCATAAAACAGGTCCATGATGGATAACCATGGGGCGCTGCAGGAAATGGAGAGTCCCCACTCCACCAGACCTCTGTCTCTGCACACCCAGTTACAGGCCCCACATTGTGACAGAGGCCTCTTTTAAATAGGTGCTGGGATCACTACATTTCAGCAAGTACTTTAGACTGTCCTCTCCTATTTATGGAACATGTATTATAGTGACAAGGGCCCCATCCAAGATCAGTGTACAAACACACATAGTAAGAATCAGTCACTGATCAAGAACCCTCTGGGAACCAAAATGTTGTGAGTACTTCCCTAACACCACTCTCTTGGGTTGTTTCACCACTGGAGAGGTGCATCCCAATGGCTTAAGCCAAGTTACTTGAGCCCAACAACAGCAATCCTAAGGGAGTCACATCTGAATTCCCTACTGTGGCCACAATGTTTCTCCTTAAGAAATAAACTGTGGGAAATTCCCAGATCCCAAAGCCCACACATAAAGCCAAACACTCAGCTAAATGCCTAAAGAGGGTCAACACCATTTTGAAGGAGCCACCTCTCACCCACCAGAAATGCTGCGTACATAAACGTCATTAGAGAGAGCCTCTGAGCTCCACTAGGAGCCTCTTGTCTGCCCTTTTCTGCAATCCAATGCTTGGACACCATGAAAAGACGCTGAGAGGTGTGACTGGGATTTCAGAGTAGGCTGTCCAGACACTCTCAATGTAGAGGAAGCTTTTGTCCACTTTTAGTTTTCCATAAAAGTGTTTCCAAATAGGATAGAAATAGCTGAGGGAGTAAGACATGATAAACATTATATGCATTGGAACACTGTGGGTTCCCAGGTGGCCTTGCTATGTATGTGAGGTTGCCTAGAGCTAGAACAGAAGAAGGGAATGTGGGACATTCTCTTTGAAGAGGCTACAGAAATGCCTAGCCTGCCCACCAGACTCACTGCTGGGTTACCAATGCCAGGGTGGACTCAGTATTGCAGATATCATGGATAGGAAAAGTTTTGCTTAAACTATTTGGGGTCCCTAATCCAAACAGTTCAGTCCTCCAGAGGCATAGTTATATTGATGAAGTTAAGGAAGAAAGAGGGCATCTCCAGTGCTGTGGCTTGTATAATTATCCTCAAACCAAGAAGGAAGGAGAACAAGAGGCTGCAATATCCAGCCTGTAAGAGAATTTTCAACCTTCACTTGTGTGCTGCATCTCAAAGCAGACCACCTCACCAACTGGGAGATGCAGGTTCTGGAATATGTAAGCAGAGTTTTCTTACTGACTTACAAGACAAGGACATTCAAACTATCAGAGTCTTTTATGTGCAGCACTCTATATTCACTTGCAGAGATTCTTTTCCAATCCACAGCCAAAGCGGTCATCAGCAAAGGCTGGAATGCTTTAGGTTTTGTATTCAGACTTGGAAAAGGTTCAATATTATCTTATCAGCCCTGTGATAGGAATCAGACAAGTACACCTTAGCACCAAACCAGTGCAAGGGGTCTCACTTTGTGAATCAATACAGACAGCTTTCTCACCCTAGACTTAGAGGAAAAGATAATAGAAAATCCATCAGGACCTAGAAGTACTGCCAAAGGAAAACTCTCATGGGTGGCTGAATAAACTCTATTTTCATGATGCCTATGTCCACTACAGGATATAATCCAATCTTACATGCAAATCCATGCAGCTCTTTATGAGTGTCCACCCATTTCTCACGGTCAACCTTTAAATTCAAGGTTTAAAAAGGGGGGTTTCAATGAAAAACAGATTTACACTCAACCATTTTCTTCATTCCTATGCATCCAAACTATGGGGAAATTTTCAGGCATTCCTGGCAACTGTGTATCATTGAAAGGTAATTGTGTTTGTCCTATGGGATGCATTTTTATCCTGGGTACAGGATAAGTTATTCATCTTATCCTAAACACCTCTGCTCAATAAGCAGCATTCAAAAACAGAAAGCAAAATGTTAGACTGCAAAAGGAATGGGATGGAAAATAATACTGGAAATATGATTGTTCTATTCCTTAGAACTAGGAAACCAGGTCAGCATAGATGACCACTGTCCATAACATCTGGAAACTTAAACTGCTCAACATATTCCAGGGACAGACAATTTGGTGGTAAATAGACCCTTTGGGAGGAAGCATCCCCAGACCCTGAAACATTCCTCATCCATGGGAGACTCTAGTGATGGAATTTTGCCAACCAAATTTGCCAATAATTGAGATTCTGTAGGTCCCCAAGCAAAGCTGCAGGAAGGATGCATTCTCCATTCCTTGGACAGGATCACATCTTCTCCACCGCCTGTAAAGAGAGCAGCAAGATAATTCTGCAGTTAAGGATTTCTCATGGACAGATAGCAATTGTCAAGGAATCTCACAGGATTTAAGGGGATGCTGTTACAGTTATGCTTTCAGGACTTTTGCTTTCAGGTTGGAAGAATGCAGCCGACACATCTTACAATAGGAATTTTGTTCTGTGGGAAGAATCAAACAGAATATAAAAACACCCTTTTGAGATTCTCTTTATCTATAAAATGTCAGAGGGGACCTCTACAGCCATTGTCAAATTATGTATTTGTGTCCTTACCTCTCTTTTTTCTGAGGTAACAGAGGAATTGGACATGCAAATCTCCCTACCCAAATCAATACAATTCATAAAATAAATATTTTGGGGATGTGACTGTTTTATGCAATCCCTTAGCATCTACTGCTAATCTACTCATGGAATATCAGAAACTCACCTGCAAAACTGGCATATCTCCTAGTGTTGTGTTAGTCCATCAGAGTGTTAAAATTGGATTTCCTGAAAATGAAGGAACCATGGAAGAAAAAAATACCCCAAAGCATGTGAATTTCTTTTGTCTAGGAGAACTGCAACCCAAATAGCTTGTCCTCTTGTTCTGCTTCCTCTTGTCATGGATGGTAGAACTCAAAAATCTGCATCCCCACCTGCTTAAAGAAATACATTGAAAAGTCTATGGATAGAAGGGATGGAGTAGACATCTTCTTTGTTACAGCTGCAGTACCCTGAAAGCCAGTTTGATCCAATACAGTCAGAGCCAGGATAAAACCACAAGAAAACTACAGATTTCACTGTGTCTCCTTTTGGGCCCCCTCACACAGGGAGCGTCAGCAGCAGGAAGGTTGTGACATCTCTACAGTATTGTCCACAGCTCACTGGTTTAATGACAGCACCTTTATAAAACATTACTGGAGACCTTCATATGTGGACAAGTTCAGCTTGGCATCTGTGAATCTCAAGACCTAGAAAATAATATTTTCCACAAGTGAAAATAATGTGCCATTATTCCATGATGTATACAAACAGATTGCCTTTGATTTTAACAATAGGTAATTCTATGTAAGCGGTATAATGACGCATTATGTTCCCTTCATCCCTAAGTACAATTTCAAGGGAGATATGTATGTTTCTTACCCAAACCCTGTTCCCATGTACCATCCCATGTTTTTTTAAAGTGGAAGTGAGCTTCCATCCTTTCATTTCTTGCAGCACAGGAACAGAACAGTTTCAAAGAATTTGGTTCCAGGCCACAAGCTGAAACAAAATAAAGGTCCCTCTTACTAATTCTTAAGCCATGCAGAAGTCTCCACTGTAGACTTGGTCTTTAGATTCTTTATGTTTAGTCCTTGTGATCTGGACTCCCAAATTTTTGTGAAATGTATATTTGATAGATTTCATCTACCAGATTAAAGGTTACCTTCAGACTTTTTCATTATACTTTAATAAAGTGTATTACACAAAACAAAACAAGAGAAACTCTTTCCTACCATTGGACATGTTTCTAAAAGATAGTCTCCATGAATTCTTTTGGCCTGTGTTATACTGTAGGGTCACACTAGATGATCACAGTGGTCCCTTCTGGACTTGGAATCTATGCATCTATGAATTAAAGTTAAGCCATAGTCTTTTGTCATTATGTCTGGATCAAAATCAGTTAGGCACAAATTAAGCCCTATTTATAGAAGAGAAAAGTGCTTTTTTTTTTTGGCATAATGTCTTACAGCTTCACCTGGTGCCAGACTTAAAATGACTGGTGATAGTCCACAAGTGAAAATACTGTGTCATTATTTCCCCTCAAACAGGATTACTTGCTTTTACAAGTCTGTTTTAATGGACAATTGATGGCCTTGACAGCTGCTACTGATCCTGCTGACAAACTGCCTACATACAGTATTATGTGTCTGAGAGAACACATGAAAGGTCTCCTTTAGATGCTTTAGTTCTAGGATATTTCAGAAAGGAGCTGAGCATGGACTTACTCCCTGTCTTTTCAGATCCAGGGATGTAATTGTCCTTACCTAATGTATACAGACCCAATCCTGTGAGGTGCTGGACCCCTTGTAGTATAGTGGGCCATCCTTAGCATGCTTCATCCCCAAACTGCAGTACATGCTGCTGTTAGAGGAAGGGGACCTGTTCGGTAACTGGCATCACATTCTGTGATTTGACCCTGAGTCAGGCAGTTTCTACAGCTATGTAATCAAATAAGGCTATGTACCCTAGTTATAGGAAGATATAGGCCCAATTCTGCAAGGTGCTGAGTTCCCTCAACTCCTACTGAAATAATTTGAATTTGCAGGAGGTGCTCAAAACTTTCAAGGTTTGGACTCCTCTCTGGTAAATATATGAACCTCTCTTGTGAAGCAAAGTTTCCTGAAAAAGTTCTGAGCCAAATATTGATGTGGGTTATCAATTGCAGTGCTGAGAAGTGGACCACTCCCAGGTATCTACAGACTGCGTCAACTTCACTTTCATTGGGGTTCTTCTAATGACCATGGCTCTGAGCACATTGTGGATGGAATGAAATATGCGGGAGAGGTAGGACCCATTTTTTATATACTAGCATATGGTGCAAACTGAAATTTGGAATTATTGTGCAGCTGGGCAACATGAACTGTTTTCACTTTCAAGTATTTATTTGTATTTATTGGTTTGTGTATGAAACCTGTTATTTTAATTAATATTCAAAAATGTGAACTAGGGCGAATCATTTCTGCCAACAAACACAACTTTTCACAACTAAAATACAAACCCCTGTCCCTTGGAAAAATTGTAATTTTTTGTAAATATGCCCTAGCCTGATATCCACCATTTTCAGTAAGATTTTTTGCTGTTTTTGCAGCAAACACAGCTTTTGTGGCAAAGTGTTTTGTTTTTCTCAAACTTGTGAAAATATCATGTTTTGCTAGTTTTACTTGTTTATTATCATTAATACATCTTGGTATTGTCCTAACTATTTGCAAAATTATAGTCCCATAATATATTTTCACAGATGAGGGAAACAGCTTGTTAAAGGGACATTTAAATTATCTGAGGTCCAAAATTGGATGTACCTTAAAACGGATGCAGTGTGGTGGAGAATATCCTCCACATTCTAAATATCTGTGCTTTTAAATCTCTCAGTCTATTGTCAAGAATTGTTTTAAACAAATATTTGCTGCTATTTTGGTGTAAAAGCACCAAACTACTATGTGCTGAACTCACTGAAGTTAGTGGGTGGATTTGTCCTGGTATGTACCCACTGTGGGCCTAAATTCTCCCTAATACTCAAATACCAATTAATTAATAACAAATTCCAGTTTCTATCCACATCCCGCATGGGAGTTCAAGGCCCAAACTACCATGGAAATACCATGGTTTCTCTATATGAGAAGCCATGCTGCAGCCTCTTAGTGTTCCCACTCTGAAACCCGCATACATGCCATGGTGCCGAGTTTTATGGTGGTTCTGAACTGCTTGCCATAAGGAGAAATGATGGCAGACCAGATGTATAGCATAGATTCACTGCCCCAAAACTTGTGGTAGGGGCCATGGATGATTTTTTTCTATCCTCTCTATGCCTACTAGCATCAGCCATGGTCAAACTGCATGGCTCTGCTAGTTCCTAGTTGCAGGCTGAATTGGAGGACTTCTGCTTGGTTCCATCAAGCAAAGGGCTTTTACTTTGCTTTTAGTTTTCAGGACTAAGATTTGACCTCTAGGTCTTTGTATAGAGGAGAATGAATTTATGGAGTGAATTGTGCTTTACTAGAGTGTAATTGGAGGCCTTAGGCTATGCTGCTTTTATCCTTCATAATAACATGTTGCACCAACAGACAAGTAAATTAAGTAGGGCTGTCAAGCGATTAAAAAATTAATCGCGATTAATCATGTGATTAAAAATTAATCACAATTAATCACGCTGTTAAACAATAGTAGAATACTATTTATATAAATATTCTGGATGTTTTCCACATTTTCAAAGATATTGATTTCAATTACAACACAGAATATAAAGTGTACAGTGCTTAGTTTATATTATTTTTTATTACAAATATTTGCACTGTAAAAATAAAAAAATAAAAAAAAGAAATAGTATTTTCAATTCACTTAATACAAGTACTGTAATACAATCTGTTTATCATGAAAATTGAACTTACAAGTGTAGAATTATGTACAAAAATAACTTCATTCAAAACAAAACAATGTAAAACTTTACAATGTAAAACTTTAGAGCCTACAAGTCCACTCAGTCCTACTTCTTGTTCAGCCAATCACTCAGACAAACAAGTTTGTTTACATTTGCAGGAGATAATGCTGCCCGCTTCTTGTTTACAATATTACCTGAAAGTTCTCATGGCATTGTTGTAGCCAGCGTCCCAAAATATTTACATGCCCGATGAGCTAAAGATTCGTATGTCCCTTCATGCTTCAACCACCATTCCAGAGGAAATGCTTCCATGCTGATGACGCTCATTAAAAAAAAATGCGTTAATTAAATTTGTGACTGAATTCCTTGGGGGAGAATTGTATGTCTCCTACTCTGTGTTTTATCCGCATTCTGCCATATATTTCATGTTATAGCAGTCTTGGATGATGACTCAACATGCTGTTCGTTTTAAGAATACTTTCACTGCAGATTTGACAAAACGCAAAGAAGGTACCAATGTGAGATTTCTAAAGATAGCTATATCACTGGACCCAAGATTTAAGAATCAGAAGTGCCTTCCAAAATCTGATCGGGACAGGGTGTGGAGCAGCTTTCAGAAGTCTTAAAAAAGCAACACTCCAATGGAGAAACTACAGAACCCGAACCACCAAAAAAGAAAATCAACCTTCTGTTGGTGACATCTGTCTCAGATGATGAAAATGAACATATGTTGGTCTGCAATGCTTTGGATCATTATCAAGCAGAACCCATCATCAGCATGGATGCATGTCCTCTGGAATGGTGGTTGAAGCATGAAGGGACATATGAATCTTGGGACGCTGGCTACAACAGTGCCATGAGAACTTTCAGGTAACATTGTAAACAAGATGCGGGCAGCATTATCTCCTGCAAATGTACACAAACTTGTTTGTCTGAGCGATTGGCTGAACAAGAAATAGGACTGAGTGGACTTGTAGGTTCTAAAGTTTTACATTGTTTTGTTTTTGAGTGTAGTTATGTAACAAAAAAAAATCTACATTTGTAAGTTGCACTTTCACGATAAAGAGATTGCACTACAGTACTTGTATGTGGTGAATTGAAAAATACTATTTCTTTTGTTTATCATTTTTACAGTGCAAATATTTGTAAATAAAATCATATAAAATGAGCACTGTACCCCTCGTATTCTGTGTTGTAATTGAAATCAATATATTTTAAAATGTAGAAAAATATTTAATAAATTTCAATTGGTATTCTATTGTTTAACAGTGCAATTAAAGCTGTGATTAATCGTGATTCATTTTTTAAATGGCGATTAATTTTTTTTAGTTAATTGCGTGAGTTAACTGCAATTAATCAACAGGCCTAAAATTAAGCAATCTACTATATTCCACTTTCAGGGACAGTGATTCAGTGATTCATAGATTCCAAGGTCAGAAAGGACCATTGTGATCATTTAGTCTGACCTCCCATATAACAGAAGTCATAGAATTTCCAAAAATAATGCCTGTGTGAACTAGAGCATAGCTTTCTGAAAAAAATCCAATCTTAATTTTAAAATTGCCAGTGACAGAGAATCCACCATGACCCTTGGTAAATTGAGTGGTTTTTTGATGTGTTTTTTGTTAATATAAGGGTCACCTTGGTAAATTTAATCAAATTATTGGATTGCAATGATACCATATTTGTTTTATATAAAAGGTTAAAGCTGGGTGAATTTTTTTTTTGGCTGAATAATTTCATTTGACCAAAAATGAAGTTTCAGTTGACCTAAAATTATTCACAAATTTAACACAAATATTTTTGGTCAGTCACAGAATAGCAAGAAGAAAATGGGTGGGGAGGAGGTTCTGCTGCTGCTGCTATGGGTTTACTCCCCTTTATAACCTTTAGCTCAGCAGTTAGGGCACTTTCTTGGGTTGCACTTTCTTGGGTTGTGGAAGACCTGGGTTCAAATCCCTGCTCTGGAAAGGACCTAAAACAGACCTTCTCAATTCACCTAAAATTCCCATTTGGTTTGAATCAAACCAATTTTTAAAAAATATTTTTTGGAACTGCTTCTGAATTGCAAAATCAGTTATTTGTCCAGCTCTCATGAAAATATGTGTTCACATACCATAGTGCTATTAGAAGCTATATAAGTCCTCTGGAAGGATAAATAAATGTTGAAATTTTTCCTGAAAACATAGTATTGCAGAAAGTAGAAGTGGAAAAGGGTCACCTTGTCCATTCCCTACCAGTGCCAGGTTGGGAGTAGAGTGGACAACTACAGAATAATAATTTATAAAGCACACATGAATTAGGATTCTTCTTTTAGAATTTCATTAACCTGAAAATTCAGTTGAGATTTAACACATCAATGGATAACTCATATATTGTACATGTGCAATTACATGCATGGGTAAGCATCTCCTCTATTACATGGTCTGATTAATTTTAAGCAAGTTTTCCAATATTTTGTGCAGTCTCCCTATTCTAATTTTTACACTTTATTTAAAACCAAAATAGTTGACAAGTGATTGCTACAAAAGCACAAGCACATGGAAGAGCTTTAGAAGGTATAGGACATATTTATACATATTTTCTTTTTATGCAGTGATACATTTGGAGCCCAATCCTGCATTCCCTGTTCACCCCATTGAAAGAGGTTTGGGTGCACAGCAAATGCAAGATTGGGCTCTTGGTGGCTTGTTATTGCAGAATAGTATTTATTAATGTTTAATTTTATTTGGTTGCAGCTTCATTTGATACATTGGTATTCAAAATACAGTAATTACGCCGAAGCTTTGAGAAATTATGATGGTGTGGCTATTTTGGGCATTTTTCTGCAAGTAAGTAGAATTGCTCATTCTTTTTTTGTACTATTGCATACATTTGTTCTTTGCAGGAGAAAGGTTCCTGCTCTACTTTCCAGTATTGTATCACATTAGATGGCATGTTCAGAATGGTGCTTAAGGGTCCCATTATTCCCATCCTGTACCTGTTGCTACATCCACATGTCCCTGGGATTATGTTCTAATGTGAATAGAGGGACTGAGGAAGACGCCATAACCACAGGGTGCACTCCTCCTGCTCGGGGGGTGCAGCGTCAATAGCAGGTGGCTGTCCAATAGCAATCAGCGGTGCACTGTATTACTCACCGACTGATTTCCATGTCCGGGATCTCTCCAAAAGATTGTGCTTTAATCATCCCCTGAGAAAAACATGCCCAAAACTAGCATGTATCACTTGCACCAGTTTTACCCTGGTGGGTGTATAGTTTTAGTTTCAAATGGTTGGTTTTAGCCACTCATTTCTCATCAATGTTAATTAGAGATAGACCCAAGCTCAAACTCTATATTGAGATCCTGATCAAAATCTTCTCAGTCTTCAAATCCAAGGTTTTGGTTCAGCCCATTGCAGAAATGGGATCCAGCCAGGAAGTTTAGATTTGGTCCAGATTCAAACTTCCTCCTACTTGTGGAATTTGTTCCAAGATTTGGTTTGGGCCCATTTCTAATATTAGTAGACCAAAATCTGAGGTCCCTCCTGAGTTCTTTAGCTCTATTCAGGCAAAACTCAGTGTGTTCAGTAGAAGTTGTGTAGTGAAAGACCCTCAGATGTTGAAATTCTGTAGTCATTTTTCTTTTACATTGGGATTTCTGTTTCCATTATGAGAATGAGGAATGAGAGCACTGGCTAGTAGCAGATGTAATAGGAGCTGGTGCTGTGTGAGCTTCTCCACACGTCTCTGAAAATATATGCTGAGCTTTTCTAGTATATTAGAGTGCTGAGACCGATTTGAATATTTACCAGTCAAATTATGTGCTGGTCAGGTGAGAAGAGACCTATTTCTGAAGTTTTCTCTGATGCCAAACTTCAGTGGGTGTTTGGTTTATATGGGACTCACAATGACACCCAAGAGAATAAGGACAAATTTGCATTACTGGTGACATGACCCATGTTTTAAGCCATTCTTTCAGTGATGAGAAGTTACATTAGTTTTAGATTGTGCTACCTGGGACCTTCCCATAAACTGTTATCCTCTTCTGATATATAGTCATATTATAGTATTTCTTTGCTCTTCTCTTCTCTTCTTTACATGAGATCAGATCCTTTGCAGAGATATCAGCTTTCTGCTCAGATTTTCCCTGGATATTCAGCTTAGCATATAGGTGTATTTTTAATAAAGTCAGGCTACTGCATAAGGGCTAAAGCATGCATTTGGTAGGAAAATTACCATCAAATGGTACATATGCATGCTAAAGAAACTATACATTTTCTATTTGTTATAAGTAAAAATTGTGTGAGCTGTGAAACTAATTTGCTGCTAATCCTCAGAAATTCTTCTTTTGCATCAAGTTTATATTCAATACTAGGAGCCCACCATGCCTCCACTTAAGTCAATGGTAGTCATACTAGTCACTTCAACTGGAGCCTGATTGAGCCTTGTATGTTGTTTTAGCAAATACTACTATAATGAAAAATCAAGCAATTACTTGATTCTTATATTATTCAGGGTGTTTTCCCCTCTATCAGGTGTAACATTTTGTTATTGTTCAATACAAGATGATCTGAGAATGATGCTAATTAAACTGACTGATGGGACGGATCAAGTTCAGTTTTTCATGCAGTCGTGACCTATAATGATGAACGGGAAAAAGGCAGCTGGCATAACTACTGTTCAACTCTTGCTTCCTGCATTGCAGGTAGGAAAAACTCCCAAACCAGAGATGAAGAGAATTCTTGAAGAAATAAATGGTATTAAAACAAAGGTAACAGAACAGTTTTTATTATATTAGGTTAACTGAGTAGCTGCAGTAGGGAAATTCAGAAGGCCAGATTCACTAGTCTGCTCTGGCTGCTTTGCACTGTTCCAACAACACATAGCAGCCAGAGCATTCTGGCTTGGAATATATTTTTTTCTTTAAGGAGAAATGTAATTCCTCCTCTCACTTCTCTAAGGTCCCCATTGACTTCAATGGGCTTTGGATCAGTTGCCAGGCAGCTCTCGTTGATAATTAGCACCACTATCATTGCAAACTCTATCCTAAACTGTTTTTCAAATTCATTAATGATCTAAGGGCCTTATCCCATACTTGTCCCATTATATAGGCAGAACTCCCACAGAAGGGAGCTCAGTTTGCATAAGAATTATAGTATCAGGCCTACGTTTAACACTGGAAGTAAATGCAACCACTGGGTGTTTCCTAAAAATATTAGTCTGTGACCAACATTGGTGGGGTCCATTCTAATTCTACTAAAATAAAATTCGCTCTTCACAATACATCTGACATTGATTATGTCGCTCACCTTTTTAAGAGTTTGCTTCTGCAAGGTGATGAGTACTGTGTACCCGATCCAGCAAATCACTTAAACCTGTGGTTAACTTTAAGCACATAAGTAGTGCCATTGATTTTCAGGGTCGAGTCCTGAATCTCTCCACCGGCTCCCCACTCTCCATCACTTCAGCTGTAAACTTCTTTGTCTTATCTTCAGTCCCTAAATAACTCCATCTCTCCCTACTTAACCAACTGTGAATCATTTATTACTCTGTCCCTTGCCCTCTTTGCTCTGCCCATAATGTCAGACCCACCATTTCTCTCTTTCTCCCATTCTCATCTCGATGCCTTTTTCATGCCACTATCTACATGTGGAACAGCCTCACCACTGTAACCAAAGGTTCCTGAATACGTGAAGTCATCAAACACTGTCAGATACTATGTTAAAAAGACAACAGTGATACCAGCCCCATTACATGGCAACTGAGACTGACAGATTTTACACCATGTTTTAGTAACAATGGAAACCTAGATGTTCAGTTTTGGATAGTGGAATCCAGTCACGATGCATATATATCACAGAAATCCAGAACTGGACTGTAGCTATTCTGAAAAAGAAACAGTTCAAGAAAAGCAGAGAAAGATAAGAGCATGAGCTAAGGAATTAAAATAAATGCACAGCATCTTGAATTTTATTTGTTATACCTTTTTTTCCTTGGGCAAAGTATAAATCTGAACAAGGCTACATATTTATATAATTATAGGATGGGTTAGTGAAAATATGTCCTGGACATAAATATTTCATGCACAGTCACAATTGTTAGGTAACAGTACATTATGGTGACAAGAGTTTCTGAGAAGTTACAATACTTAATTACATCAGTGGACACTTTGATAAAGTGCATCTTATTTTATTTCTTTGGGAAATCTCAGCCTTGGACTAGTGATGATTTCTAGAAAAGTAAGTTACAGGGCAAATGTTTGAAAGGAGGAGGTCAACTTCTTACATGATATTGGATATTTCATTAATTCTTCCATGGAAACTTGACTCTGTTTTTAAGCAAGCTCGGTGTCACCATTAGTGTTATTAAAGATATTTCTGTTTTATTTATTTAAGGGAAAAGAGGCTCCTTTTTCAAACTTTGATCCATCAATTCTTTTTCCTAAATCTTGGGACTATTGGACCTACCATGGCTCCCTCACTGAACCTCCTTGTGATGAGTGTGTTACCTGGATTCTTTTGAGGGAACCTATTATTGTCAGCCCAGACCAGGTAAACTTCAGCTGGACATTAACCTTTGTCATGGTTCTCTCACAGTTTCAGCTTATTTATTTATATGCCATATTCCAGAATTACTCTTTCAATAAGAAAAACTCCCCTTGGAGTCAATGGGAAATTGCATGAGTAAAGACTGAGTTAAAATAGAGTTAAAACTGAACTTCAGGATTGGGCCCTTCTGTTAGTAACCTCCTCAGTTGGCTTCAGTAGAAGCACCATTGGGACCCCTAAAAGAGCTGCACGGGATTCCAGACTTCTATGGGTATGTCTACATTTCAGCGGGGAGCGAGTCTCCCAGCTCTGATAGACAGATTTGTGCTAACGGGGCTCACGCCAGCGTGCTAACAATAGCTGTGCAGATGCTGTGGCACTGGAGGAGCCTCAGGCTTGGACCCAAGGGTCAGGGTGGGTCTGAGCTCGGGTGGCTAGCTCAAGCCTCCGCCAGTGCCACACAGCTATGAGTCTACCTATCCAGGCTGGGAGGCACACTTTGGGCTGCGGTGTAGACATACCCTATGAGACTATCCACCCACCCCAGTTCCTTGTCCGTCTCTCCACATTTGGAAAATTGTTGGTTCCAGCTCCTAACTTCCTAGACTATGTTGCTGGGAAGGGTCAGCTTCACAAATCAGTGAGATTGTAACAGACTGGAGGAGAATAGGAGGGGTCACGGGGAAGCAGGAGGTGATCAGAGAGACACTTTTGAATGAAAAGAGACTGAAACAATACACTTTTGTCATGGAGTGCAGTGATTGAGGCTAATAATAAATAGTCAACTATCTCATTCATTACACATTACATGTGCTCATCTAATTAAAAACTGTTTGTAATGCATCCTCAGTTTTGGCATTTCCACATTTCTGAGGGATTCATTTTGCAGCCACAATGTTCTTTCAGTATAGTCTTTTTATTTAATATTTCAAAAGATTCCTTCCTAAAATCCATAAGAAGCACATTTTAACAGGTGAAATAATATTTTTTTTAAAATGGTACCCATAAAATAACTTGCCCCACATTCTAAGTGGTAGCATGTAACAAAGAAATTAATGCAAAGTTTGTAATCCTTTTAAACACATTTCTGGAAATGTTCATGGCCAAATTTGAATAAACAAAAGCAACAACTTCAGGGAACCTCCATTTCTCCAATCTGAAGGCCTCATGTTAACCATGACAGTCTCATAGCAGAAATAAATATTTTTTGTAAATTTCCACACACCCCAGTACACTCATAAGGGTGCTTAAATGATTGAAATTGGATAAAAATGACCCCAATGACCCCTTTGGTGATCTCAGATGTAAAGGTCAGTTTTATAATCTAGGATTGTTCCTGTGCTCAGCAGTCCACAATGAATGAGTCCTAAATTTCAAGACTCAATGGGAACATGAAAATTCTTTGAGTCAGATAGTGAGTGAGTGACATGTTACACGTGTACATATTAGATACATGTAGACATATATTCTTATCCTAGGATCTCAAGGTGTTTTATGACTACAGTACACATAAGCCAATGCAGGCATCTCTGACGCTTCATACGGATCCTGGCTGGCATCAGTGTATCAAACAGCACTTTATTTCCAAATTATTATGTCCTGATACATTTGTGGCTGCTTAGTTTATAAAAAATTGAACAAGTGGAATACAGTGAAATCACCAGAACTCAGGTCTGATTTGAACCTTAGTCCTAAAGATGAAAGCTAACACAAGCTCCTGCATGACTGTGTTTTACATAGCTCATTCAAATACAGAGGTGGTCTGGAGGTCACTTCCTTATTTTTCCTTGTCTGTACCAAAATATAAAGCTATTAGATATTTGGAAGCTTCTCCTTGCATGCAAAATGCAAATTGGCTCTGGTCAGCTTTCCTGACTTAACAACATGTCTGCTTAGTGCCTCATTACCAACTCAGCTGTTTACATCACAGGGGATCATGTACGGGTTTATTTGAAACTCCAGTGTAGGTGTAGCTATTAGTGAACAGCTCTGTGTTGCATCAACAATAAAAATGTCAACTTCCTCTCCTCCCCTACTTTAATGGGTTGATCTTAGTGTGACATTCTTTTAGAATGCAACAGCTATGTGCTGAATCATTCATCCAACTTCATCTGATGTGTTTCTGATCACTGCTATATTCAGACAACGCTCTTCTTTCTAAATACGGTCAGTAACAAGTTTTGGGAATTAATTGTTCTCCAAGCAGCCATCAGGACCTGTGTGTAATCTCCAGGGAAGCACCTTGATCTGCTCATCAGAAGACATTGATCATTTCTACAAAGTGGATAATTAGTACTTGTAGATGGTGCTTTGTCATTCTGCTTTACAGACAGAATTATTATTAGTGATGTTATTTGTATTGCAACAGTGCCAAAGAACCACAGTCAAGGACCAGGGCCCCACTGTGCTTGGCACTGTATAAACACACAACAAAACAACAGTTCCTGCCCCAAAGAGTTGCAGTGTAAGACTATGTCTACATTGCCGGCACTACAGCAGCATAACTATGGCCCAGGACTGATGCCTGCAATAACCCCAAAGTGGAAAGGCAGCCTAAAGTGATGGGAGGGGTTTTCCCATCACTGTAGGAACTCCACCTCCCCAAGCAGCAGTAGTTAGGTCAATGCATTGCGTCGGCACCTGGCATTAAGTCAGCACCCTTGAGCACTGTAGCTATGTCTACCTACATTTTAAATATAGACCAGGTTTAAGTAATCTTCACCTGAGAGAGGTTCACAGGCTCAGGCCCTTAAAGATCTCTAATCCTAGAAGCCTGCTAACATTGCAGACTTGCTGGCAATAATTGTTTTAAGTCCTAATCCCTCTGCCACAGAGACGAAGATGGTGTTCCTGTATGGTTGAGATACCGAGGGCAAATTTTCCAGTGTGCAATATGAGCACCTGGAAAGATATGCTCATCCCATATGCGTTAAGCCATGCAAACAGGTAGATATGTGCATCGTTACCCAATCCACATACTATTACTATATTATTTCTATAACACCCTTGGCATGCCTGGCACTTTTCAGCAAATGTATATACTAGTCCCCATAGGTGCACCCCAATGTGGGGGTATGGGTCCAGCAGGAGTGGGTTGCATGGAAATAGGAATCACTGGGTGCAAAAACAGGAAAGAACATTATCAAGTCTTGAGAAGTACCTGGAAAATGTTACCTTTGGCATCACACAAAGAGAAGTTAACCCTGAATTTTTAATTTTTTCAACAAAAAAGAAACAAACTGAAGGCCCAGCTCCTAATCCATCTGAAGCATTGCAGGAGGCAGCATCCTGCTATCTTAATATTGTTGACACTAATACTGAGTCTTCCTACTGTTCCATAGCAGAATACAGTCTTGTGCCTCAGCTCACTACTGAAGCAAAGGATTTGTTGGAAAATCCAGCCCCAAGGGCTTCTCACAAAGGACTAAATCCTGACACCTCCCCCGCAACCTCTGAGGACTCAATTGCTAGGACCAAATGGTACAGTTCTTGTGCTGAAAGGGAGGGGAGAGGATTTGGGGCCCCTGCATAGGTGGTCCACGCCCCTTGCATGTCACAGAACTCTGCAAACCAGTGTTCCCTGCACCTCACCACATTGGGCCTGGGGGCAAGACTAAGCTGGAGAAAGCAGGGATGGAACCAGTGGATCTCTGACTCTGTGGATCTATTTACTGTATCTCTGTTCGGCTATCTACTGTAAATATTTATGTAGTGCCACTGTAGTATCTAGGCAATGGGTCCCCTGACTATTCTAATCCTCCAAGGGTAGCATGCTGGCCATGAGGGTTACTGCAGCCAATGTAGCTCTGTGGTCTTCTAAGAAGAATTTCTTCAAACCCTGCCCCTGTGGCAGCTCCAGTTTATAGCCCAGTCACTCCCACGATGTTCTGGTTAAAGCACTGGGATCAAAGGTCAGAATTCTCAAGTCTGATTTGAAACTGAGCTTTTCATTTTGGTGCAATTACTCACTGTGTATTTACCTTTTATACTTAACTGACCAGATTTCTCGTGGAACGGAAAACACATCCCTCTGTTCTCTAAAATAGAATTCTTCTTCAAGTGATTGCTCATGTCGATTCCAAGTAGGTGTGTGCGTGCCATGTGCACAATCGTCAGAAGGTTTTCCCCCTACCGGGTCCTGCCTGAAACCTGTGCCTAAGGGAGACCCACAAGACTCCTCCCTGAAGTGCCTTGGAGAGGCACACCAGTCGGACAAGTGTAAAATCTGCAGCGGCTTCAAGCCCAGAACAAAAAAGGAACAGGACTTTTGGCTAAAACTCCTCCTGATGGAATCAGCCCTTCACCCCCAGCTGACCCAGGTGGCGTCCGACCCCAAGCCCGACACTTCACTGTGCAGTGCACCAGCCTTGGTGCGTGAGGCTTTGACGCTGAGAAAAGACTCAGCTAAGGACTCTCGGCACCACCATTCCCCAGTGCCGAAGACCGCCCCTAATGCAAGCACCAGGCACCTTCCATTCGCTGGTGCCGCACAAGAAAAAGAGAGCAGACAGGGGGCATTCCCCCACTGAAGTAGGGGAGTGAGCAGACACCAGTGGGGTGCATCCCACGTCGGGACACCCAGCCTCGGCCCCGCCTATACCGGCACCGTCGACTCTAGTCCTGGTGACTCTCCGGTGCAGGAGGATGACATAGACCTCCCATCCACGCTGGATACATTTGAAGCAGCCAGGGACCTGATCGTGATGACAGCACAGTCCCCTCCACTTGTGTCACTTATCTGGCTAAGTGAAAGAGATTCTCTATTTGGTCTCTACAGAAGGGCACTCCTCCGTTACAGTCATCGGTTCCCTTCATCCTAGACTATCGACTTCGCCTGCAACAGCAAGGTCTGGTGGTGTCATCAATCAAGGTGCACCTAGCCGCTATTTCAGCTTTCCATCCCGGCTCAGCTGGGCAGTCAGTATTTGCTAACCCCATCGTTGGCCACTTCCTCAAGGGGCTAGACAGGCTGTACCCTCAGGTATGGCAGCCGATTCCTCCATGGGATCTTAACCTGGTGCTCTCAAGGTTGATGGACCCCTCCTTTCGAGCCCCTAGCAACGTGCTCTCTACTTTACCTTTCTTGGAATGTGGCGTTTGTAATGGCTATAACATCAGCCAGGAGGGTGTCGGAGCTCAAGGCCCCAACACCCGAGCCCCCTTATATTGTGTTTTATAAGGATAAGGTGCAGTTGCCGCTGCACCCAGCATTCCTCCCGAAGGTAGTTTCAGGACATCTTTCTTCCAATGTTCTTCCCTAAGCTGCATGCTAATGATAGGGAATGCGTGCTTCATTCCCTGGATGTCAGATGGGTGTTAGCTTTTTACATTGTGCGGACAAAGCCGTTTAGAAAGTCGACACAGCTCTTTGTCCCCATTGCTGAGTGAATGAAAGGTCTTCCAGTTTCCCAAAGGATCTCTTCATGGATCATGGCCTGTATCAAGGCGTGCTACGACCTAGCAAAGATACCAGCCCCAGTGCTAACAGCGTACTCCACAAGAGCGCAAGCTTCATCTGCAGCATTCCTGGTGCAGGTCCCTATTCAGGACATCTACAGGGCGGCGACGTGGTCATCTATTCACACCTTTACATCACACTACGCCATTACACAGCAGGCTAGAGAAGATGCCGCGTTTAGCAGAGTGGCCCTGCAGTCTGCGACTCTGTGAACTCCGACCCCCCCTCCAGGGGGCTGCTTGGGAGTCACCTATTTGGAATCGACATGAGCAATCACTTGAAGAAGAAAAAACGGTTACCCAGATTTTGTATCTGTTGTTCTTCGAGACGTGTTGCTCATGTCCATTCCAAGACCCACCCACCTTCTCCTCTGTCAGAGTATCCAGCAAGAAAGAACTGAAGAGGCGGTGGGTCGGCAGGGACCTATATACATGGCCATGAAGACGCAATTCCAGGGGGCTCCACAGCCGATCCAATGAGTACTGCTAGGGGAAAAAACCTTCCGACTGTGCATGTGGCACGCACACACCTACTTGGAATGGACAGGAGCAACACATCTCGAAGAACAACAGTTAGGAAAGGTAGGTAACCAGTTTTTACATTCCTTCACTAGAAGTTCTAGCAACAAAACCTTGCTAAACCACTCTTACTTCCTCTCCAGCCAAATAAGCGGTTCTTATATTCTGATTGATCCTGGGGCTGGAAAACAAGGCTTAGGTTGTGAGGCTTAAGGAGCTGAAATTATTCAGCTTATTGAAGCTGTAAGCATGGTGGACCAGTGCTCTGAGATGGTACAGGGAGTGCTTTTTCTAGATGTCTGGCTGGTGTGCCTAGCTCAGATGCCCAGGGTCATATGAACACCACATTTGTGACTGGGAAATTTCCCCCAAATCAGATTGGCAGGGACTTTGGGAAATGGGGGGCAAAGTTTGCCTTCTTTTGCAGCATGCAATATGATTTTCCTGATGGGATCATCTGTGCATATCACCTAATCAACTCACTGCCATTGCAGCAGCATTGGTGACATCTTGATCTCTTCTGTTGTCTGCTTGTGGCACACAGTTTAGTCTCTAGAAGACTGAAATGCTTTTGTCTAACTAGAGTCTTTGGGCTTTTATAGTAGGATCTGGATAAAATTTAATAGCCTGTATATACAGGAAGTCAGACAAGATGTTCTAGTGTTCCCTTCTGGCCTTAAGCTCTATGAAACTGTGAATGCAATATACAGTGAGCCTTCTAGTTCATGATAGGTTTCAGAGTAGCAGCCGTGTTAGTCTGTATCCGCAAAAAGATGGATTTGTTATTGTGTTTCAGATTCATAATACAGTTGATGCACTTTTCATTGGCCTTTGAAGATATAAAGTAACTGTTCTGAAGACCAGGTGTCATCATGGCTCATGTCACCCTATATACTCTTTCCCTTGCCTCCTTGATCATGGAAAGTAATGTCACAGCAAATAAATGTTATTGAAGTTCCACAGTGCAAGGGGCAGGCAAGGGCTGCTACCACTTGCACATAACCAAGCTCCTTAGGTTGAGGGTTTGTGGGGACAGGTCATGAGTAGGCCAGAGAAGAAGCCAGGCAGAGTTGGAGAATCCACTGTTACACAGATCTACTATGTAAGGATCTCCAGAGTCTATTCCAGTCATTAGGCTGCAGTAGACTCCATGCAGTGGCTCCTGTGACTTTGTAGGAAGATTCCTCCCCAGCCCCCCAGTGCTTGACCCAGCCACAGTAGTCGGTCTAAACATTAGAACCTGGATTTGCCCCAAGTGAATTCCATATTGACATTGTTATTTTGCTTCTTTGCAGATGGCAAAGCTCCGTAGCCTTTCCATCAATGCTGAGACAGAACCTGTTTGCCCCATGGTGGACAACTGGCGCCCTCCTCAGCCTCGGCATTTCAGGATGGTGAGAGCCTCGTTCCAATAAAATCTATGCTGAATCTGGGTGTCTTTGCATGAGGAAATGCCTACATCCCAAAGCCTAGTTAGCTTTGTGCCCTCTACTGCTCTTTCTCTGGATGCAGATCTGCATTTCACAGTCCAAAACTCTGCATAATGAAATGTGATGGGTCCCCAACTCTAATTTTGAGATGTCAAAAATTACTTGAGGCAAATTCTAATTTTAACATGAAAATATAGAATCTGTGTTTGGATCTCAATAATAACTGTGTTAGCTTTAACAGTAGCGTTTATATGGCTATTTCTAAGGAAGAAAAATGGAATAGTTAGTAATGGCTAAAAAAGGCATTTCTCCATTAACCTTATGGTCTTCAGTGCTTGCCTTTTTCCAGACCGAAGAGGTTTCCAATTAACAGAAACAATGAGTCATTTGAATTTAAAATGGACAACATGTGTCAAATTCTGCTGTCAATTGTACTAGCATAATCCAATAGGGAATACCAGGTGTAATGGAGGGCAGAGTTTTCTCCTTTGTATTCATATAGAAATATGGAAAGTACAAAGACTCATTAAATTTCCAATGATAATTAAGCAAGTTAAGATTTTAATGAACTGAGAAGTTAATATTGTAAAATTTCATTTTGAAAACTGAAATCAAGGTGTCAAATCAAATTAAGAGTATTAAATTGTGGGGGGGAAGAGTTCCTACTTTAATTATTGTAACAACTGACTTATTCTTGTTAAAAGGTCAACATTAATTTTAATGTTAAAGCAACTGAAATGAAATGAATTTCAAGAAATCCCAGAATTTTCTTTAATTTCCTGCAATTGTAGGTCTTATCAGTGGATGAAAGTGAATAGATTCTGTCAAAAACCCTTTAGCATCCTAAGAGTTATTTAGTCCCCATTTTTTCTACTGTACCATTGTCCTTACATGTCTGAAGGCCAAATTCTGCCCTCATAAACCTATGCAATTGATCCTGATGTCAATGAGATTTGTGTGCAGGTATCTCTGTTGGACTTATGGTAGCAAGAGCAATAAAAGAGTATTGTATGACTGCACTTGAAGCAATAGCATTTCTGCTTTAAGAGAACCAACACTAATAAAAACTTTTTTGTAAAAAATGGTGTTTGTGGTTTTATTTCTAATTTTGGGTGACAGCAAAAAGCAACAGACAAAAATACTCTGTATAAATTAGGGATAGATAAGACTGTAGTACCTAACCCTGGCTGTTTGTACTGCAACATACTGGCATGTTTTGTGTGTGTGTGTGACTCCAAGAAAATAGCATCTTTAAAATATGGTACTTCGTCACAGCATCTGCTAATTGACACTGTCCCCCACTATGATGTCACTTGTGTGTCTCTGCTTCAAGAAATTCCTCATTCCTAATAGCATTTATTTCTTGTTTGATCATGTACTATCCTTGATCCTACCAAAACCCATATATTCAGAAGTATTCTGCTTGAACTTTTCTGAACTGATCTGGCTCATGTCTAATGATGCCATTTCACCTTAAATTGCACATGAACTCTAGTTTCCTACAACGAAACGCTTGAAAGAACTAGATGAGATGTTGGGTGACTCTGAATTTTCCTTTTAACCTCTGCTTCACCTCCACACTTTACAGCACACAAGCCTGACTTTTTAAGACTGGGATGGGTAAGGGATAGCTCAGTGGTTTGAGCATTGGCCTACTAAACCCAGGGTGCTTGGATTGGCATGGAGCAAGGGTGTGGTACCTCTATCAGCCCTGAGGAAAAGCAGTTTGATTTTTTACAGAGGGGGAATTAGCTCAAATGGTAGAGCGCTTGCTTAGCATGTGAGAAATAGTGGGATCAATGCCTGCATCCTCCACTAAAATTTTTGGGGAGGGGGGATAGCTCAGTGAAGAAAAAAATAATAATATATGGAGATATACCTATCTCATAGAACTGGAAGGGACCTTGAAAGGTCATTAAGTCCAGCCCCCTGCCTTCACTAGCAGGACCAAGTACTGATTTTACCCTACATCCCTCAGTGGCCCCCCTCAAGGATAGACCTTACAACCCTGGGTTTAGTAAGCCAATGCTTAAACCACTGAGCTATCCCTCCCCACTAAAACATTAGCCCACTAAACCCAGGGTTGTGAGTTCAATCCTTGAGGGGGCCATCTAGGGGTCCATGGCAAAAAAAAAAAGTTGGGGATTGGCCCTGCTTTGAGAAGGGGGTTGGACTAGATGACCTCCTAAGGTCCCTTCCAACCCTAATATTCTATGATTAATAGCTTCTTTCCCCTGAAGACATAGAATGATATTCAGTCAGTCAAAACAAGTCCTGTTGAGGTTAAAAAAAAATCAGGTAATAAATTATAAGGAGGCAATAGTAAAGTCACATAACTGATTCTTGTGAGCCTGGAGAAAAGCCAGTTGGGCCAGTTCCAAGTAAGTCGCCAATAGGTCTGGAACTTCCCTCATTAGTGCTAATGCAAAATTCATTTTTCTGTCCTGACACCCCGCATCTGGAGAGGTAATAGATTAATGCAGGATATTTCGTCACATTATTAGCCCAGAATACATCTGTGTATGTGAATAATTCAATATAAAAGCAATCATTTAACAATGTTAGGGTGGGACACAAGCCAAGAAAGTATTTTAAGAATAACATGAGTCTGTTCTTACTTCATTCATGATATTGGGAAAAAAGCCCAGTTCTTTAACTCTGAATTTCCTAGTCGCTTGTTCAACAACCTTAATAGTATATTTTAAATGTGTTATTACATTTGATACATATCATTCTTTTCTTTCAGAAAGTAATGCTTACGAAGGTTATAAAATGTGTACTATGCATATAGAGTAGGCATGTTTCCAAGTGTAATGTCTGAGGACCAGATAATTTCTTTCTTTATTAAAGTCAGTAAAAGAGGGAATCTTCCTTGTTATTTACCATGAGTTTGAGTGCAGTGTCTGTTCCTCACATCATCACCTTGATTACAAGGCTGCACCGGTGGCAGAACAGACAGCGATGAGCCCTCTAATACCGTTGTAGTCATAGATCTAGTCCCAAACATGAATCATTTGCCATCACAAATCAGGTCTCTCTGTGCATTTTGTGGTACTGCCAACTCAAAAACCATGAGCCCCAAAAATCACAAGAATTGTTTTAAAAGATTATATTGGGGGGAGGGTTGGCTTGTCTTTTTATTTTTGAACTCCCCCTGCCCATCCCCAGTGAGCGTCAGCAGCAATTTGTGTTGCCCACTCTCCCAAATTTTTTGGGTAAGGTGATTTTGCTGCCCTCTGGTTCAAAGCCTCCTCCCCCCCAGTTCAGCTTGTCCCTGAATCCCCATCAGTTCATCCCATTCCGGCAAGGCCCTCTCAGTTCAGCCTGTCTCCTACCCCTCCAGTTCAGCCCATTCCCCACCTCCCTCAAAAGGTGGCTCCTATCTCCAGTCAAAACTGGCAACTTGTCCCATGCATCAAAAAGTGAGGCTTCAAATCTACAAATGCCCTTCCACCAAATCTTGTTTGGCTTTCTCTTGAAATATGTGTTAACTACTGATGTTAAACAATCTGTTCCACCTTGTATTTAGCTGTGACACTCTCAATACGTTTCCCAGACCTGAAGACGAGCTCTGTGTAAGCTGGAAAGCTTGTCTCTCTCACCAGCAAAAGTTGGTCCAATAAAAGATATTACCTCACACACCTTGTCTCTCTAATATCCTGGGACCAACGCAGCTACAACAACACTGGATTCTATACATGTACATGTGAGAACTGTTTGACTTAGTACAAGTTTTAAAAGTGCACCCTTTTCGGTGTTGTTCAGCTGTGCAGTTTAATATGATATGCAAAACACGTATGTAACAGAATCAAATAGAATAGAGCCCAAAGTCTGATGGCTGGTGCCAAAGTGGTTGCACAGGAGGAGAGAGAGAGATTATGAAATTGTGTCCCCAACCGTGTTGTTTTCCCATATTGGCCTATAGATGGCAGCAAAAGTACAAGAACAGGAACTAATGAGCTGCACCTGCCTTCACTGAAGTCAATAGGCAAACTCTCATTGATGTAAGTGATGCAGGATCAATCACTAAATTATCCTGGCGGCAGAGAGAACCCTGTATATGAGATAAAATTATAATATAATTCTCTCTGTGCCCCTTGTTTAACAGCAGTGGTGTTTTATTTCAGGCTGGCATTGTCACAAAGGCAGGATAGACATCCACAAAAGGGAGGTGAGGACCTGACTTTAGAAGATCAAATAGTTAAGTTGACATTGACAATAGTATTTCCTTCCATACTCTGCATAGTAGCACATATCAGTTACTATAATGCATTTTAATTTAAGATACAGTTATTCTTAGCAATGATGCTTGCAAATAGGAAATGTGGACGTTTCATGTAGAAATATATTGTATATTCTACAGTTTGTTTGGTGTTTTTATTATATTACCCAAACAGCACCATCCTGTAAGATACGCATGATGCCTAACAAAACTCATAGCTCCTGAGTTTGATATCAGTTACCCCAGCGTAAATCAGGAGTGAATCCACTGACCTCAGAAGGTGAAATGGGACTTTTGTCACTGACCTCATTACATGGGGCCACAATGTCACCCAGAAGGCATAAAATTTGTGTAAGTGAAATTGGAATCAGCTCCATAGTTTAGAGAAATTAAAATCTAAATTGCATTGGCAGAACTGAGCCATGAAATGCTGTGAGATGAGGGATGTGGGGCAGCAGGAGATTTAAATTTGACGTCTCAACCCTGGTCAACAGAGAGTTAACCCATAACTGTACGAGGCCATTATATTTTATGTTGCAAAGGCTGAAAAGCCAAATAAAAATAACCATTCAGAGGTCTATAGAAGGGGTGTGCACAGCCAGCTATGCTGAGCTTACACAGCTTGGTGGATATATGGTGCACAGTACATTTTGCTGTATTTTGATGCTTTAAAAAATGCAAAGGAATCAGGTCCACCTGTGTCAAATTCATCTGTATTCCTCTAAAGCTGCATAGGCCCAAATGTGGCCTAAGGAATCAAGAT